TCTCCCCTACTTGTGCACTCTCTCTCTCTCATAAATAAAAGTTAAATTAAATAATTAATTAATGTGAGTTGTTTTAAGCCTCTAAATTTGTGGTAGTTTATTATGGCTAAAACATAGAAACTAACACATAGAAAACTAACACAAAAAGCTTTCTTGGATACTGCAGGGCCAGACCTTAGATACGATTCCAGTTAAAGAAGTAGAACACGAGATGCCAACAGTCCAGCTCCCCCAAACAAATAACAATACAGATACTAACAAACATTTAAAATTCCTAGTTTTCTTTATAGTACTTTTCATACCTGAAGTTACAGAATTTGCTTGGTCATCTGTCCTTGTCCTCAAGGACCTGGACTACCCCTCAATTGCCAGTGCCTAATGGAATGCCAAGGACATAGCTTCTCTCTGATAATACTTATAGAATGAATGAATGAACTTTTTACTTCTCAGGCTGGAATTTTGATTCTTCAAATTACACACTATATTTTTAGGGATCTTTCCCCGCCATTAAATTATGCCATGGCAGGTAAATTTCTTTTCTTTAATTTTCACCTACTTGTGGCTTGTTTTTATTTGTTTGCTTTACTTTTGCTTGATTTCCCAAACAGAGTAGTGAAAAAGCTAAGTAGTGTTGTTCTAAAGGTTGAAGTGCCTTGGGCCAGTCCCATTATTGTACTTTACTGGGTGCCTCTGGATTCGTTTCAAAAGGATAAGAAGAGAGATTTTCACAAACTGTGTTTATCTTGCATCTCTTTGTCCTCCCTGTCTTCCAAACCTCCATTACACAGAGCACAGTAGTTGTGAATCCCTGCGGCCCCTGCTAAACCCATGTTTTGGGTGGTATTCTCTCAGCTGTGTTCTGCTTGTTATTTCTTAAATGTTTCCCAAAGCTTTGTGGTCTTGTAAATTGATTGGTTGGAGAAAGAGGAATGTTCTTGCTAAACACTTAAAATGCAAGAGACTGTTCTGAACAAATCTTCCTGGCAACAGAGAAAATGGATGTTGTAAAAACTCTAATTTGTGTCTCTAATTCCAACAAATTCAGTGGGTGTTCTTTTGAAAGCACCCTGCAGATTATAAAGGCTGTGTCACCCCCACACATGAAAGGCATATTGACTTTAATAGGGCATTCAGGGAACAAAAGCATTTGTCAATATCTCAAGCATTCATTCTTATTTGAAGCAGGCAATAGTTATTAATTTATTTCTTCAGGCACAAACATCACAATTCAGTTGCTTAGTTTGAAATAAAAAATAGCAAAAGTACCATTAAGGTGGGATAAACGCCCTTCTTACCCAGGGGCCTCACAATTCTCAGTGGGGGTGGGGTGGGACATGAAAGTCTTTCTTAAAAATTCCCAGAGAAAGAAATTCCTGAACCCACTGGTTAATTAGGGCAACCCATATAAAAGAGATTTTATTAGCTGATTCTAGAAAAGGCTCCTTGTTCTTTGATCCTTATTAGGAAGAAATCCAAGTCATTCATACAAAAAATTCCCTTTCAAAAGTGTTTTGACGATGGCCAGGGTTCATTAAATAAGTCCATTGCACACCCAATCCACTTACATTTAACTTTCCTGTGATACATTTGAGCTTATTTTGCTTTAAATTCAATGATTGAGGAGATTATGTAAACCGATCTGCAGTTTCTTGTTAAATAATGTGTTTCCAAGTAAAATATCAGGTTTGCCAAAATATTGCCCAATGTTCATATGTTCAAAATAGCTTCTTATAATTCAAAAATACAGAATTCTCCAGGAATAAAGTATCTGGTTTATGAAAATTGTTCATATACACGATGCAGGAGTTTGCTAGCCCTGAATCTTTGGGTGACATCAAAAACTTCTTATACCAGGACAGAGGTAGATTTTTTGAATAGTTTATTCTTGTTTTCTAACTATAAATATACCATATACTAATGGGAGAAAACTTTGAAAACATAGAGCTGAAAAAAGTATTAAAAACCCACCTACAATTTCACTGTACATAGATAAGTACTGGTAATATTTTATACACATCCTTCCAGCATTTATATATCTATATCTATATCTATATCTATATCTATCTATCTATATATATATACATATATATATATATTCAAATATACATACTTTTAGGAATTTTTCAACTTGCACAATATTTTGTCTTCCGCTTTCTTAATCTAACAATATATTTCAAACAACATACTATGTCCTAAGATATTGCTTTAGTCTATAATATTTTTATTTTTAATTGTTGCATAGTATTTCATAATAATGGCTAACACTTATTAAATACTCATATTGCGTGTCAGTTACCACCATCATTTATTTTAACCTCATGACAATTACATAGGGCAGATGATATTAACTCTACTATAAAGATGAAGAAACTGAGGCACAGAGAGTTTAAGTCAGTTACCTAAATTCATGTCACTTGTAAGTGGCAGAACTGACATTCACATCCAGATGGTCTACTTCTAGCCTGCTCATTTAGTCACTGGGCCATAAAATACATACTACAGTGGTGTACTACCATGTGATAGTTTACAGAGCATGTCTTCTATTTTGAAGCAGTTTGTTTGTTTGCTTATAGGATTTTTTTTCCTATAATAAATAAAGTTATCCACACATAACTATTTTGCACATTTCTGATTATTTTATTAGGTAATAAGCCATTTATTTCAAGAGGAGTTATGGCCATTTTAAAGAGGTGTGTGTTTTGTCCTGTCATATTTCTGAGAAGGCCATTTTAAATATCTAACTTGAACTTGTCCTTTCCAGAAAATAATTCTATTCTGGTGTTTAAAGCTTCAGCTCTAACACTCTATAAGTGGTCAGACCAGACAAATGAGAAGTGAAAATACCTCGTGTCATAATTACTCTTATTTTTGATATGTTTATTTATAATTTATTCAGTAGATGTGGTATTGTTTTCTTTGTAGGATCCCAAAAATGTGTTATCTGGTAGGTCTAACTATATATACTGGAAACTCATCTGCAAAGGCTACTTCCTCCCCTCCTTTTGTCTTAATTTAGGATAGATTTCTTAGTCCTTATCTTAAAACATACCTGCTTTCTTCCATTAAAGAAATTTGTCATGCGTTTCTTATAGTCCATGTTATAAAATCATTTTAGAACAAGACCTGGCAGTACTGATCCTTCCACCTGAATTCACTGTTCCCTCTTTAACATTTTCACACTACTTTATTTGTGTGAGCATCCACTAGTGCCTTTTTAGGCTTTCACTATAGCTATGGACATATCTCTTCCATAGTAGGCTATGAGCTCTTTGAAGGTTGTCTTGTTCTTATATCCCTAGAATGAAGCACATTGCTTCCCGACACAAAATAAGCACATGAAAATATTTGAGCGAATAAATAAGTGAAGAAAAACAAGTCACAGTGCCATGGTAGTTTAGAAGCAGATGCAGAGGGGCGCCTGGGTGGCGCAGTCGGTTAAGCGTCCGACTTCAGCCAGGTCACGATCTCGCGGTTCGTGAGTTCGAGCCCCGCGTCGGGCTCTGGTCTGGTGGCTCGGAGCCTGGAGCCTGTTTCCGATTCTGTGTCTCCCTCTCTCTCTGCCCCTCCCCCGTTCATGCTCTGTCTCTCTCTGTCCCAAAAATAAATAAAAACGTTGAAAAAAAAATTTTAGAAGCAGATGCAGATATCTTTCAAATCTGGGGGCTCATTGAAGGGTTCATGGAGGAGATGATAATGGAACTATTCTTTGAAAAACTCAGGGGTCTTTAATGGTCAAAACTGTGGGAGAAGATCATTCTAGCAAATGGGGTGACATGATCGAAAGTCAGGAGGGTTAAGTTCAAGGTCTCTAGTTGGGAGGGAAGGAAAAGTACCCTAGAACATACATAGGGGAGTAGGTAGGTTATGTCAAGGTAGGTTTGAATGCCAGACTAAGAAGTCTGGACTTCATTAAGCGATACAAAGTCAATAAGATCATTTTATTTTTGTTTGTTTGCTTGTATTTTTTTTTCTCTGTGTGTGCATGGTTTTTGGAGGAGTGAGGTGGAGGAGAAACAGTATTAGAGTTGTATTTTATAAAAAATAACATGGTACTGCTCTGTTAGATGGATTATGTATTAACTAAGGTAATGCTAACACCTGTAACAAATAAACCCCCAAATTTCTTTTTTTTAAATATGAAATCTATTGTCAAATTGCTTTCCATACAACACCCAGTGCTCATTCCAATAGGTGCCCTCCCCAATGCCCATCACCCAACCCCCAAATTTCAACAGGGGTATTCCTGGTTGGTAACTGAGAGACCCACCCTCCTTCTACTATGTGATTCTGCCATCCCTTAGAGCCTCTATAAGTTCTGCATTTAACAAATGGAAGGGGAAAGAGACTAAGGAGAAGCTCCATCTACTTCTTAGCCGCCTTAGCCCAGAAATGACACCCTTCATTTTTATTTCTGTCCCATTGGTAAGAACTAGTCACAAGGATGAAAGGGAGCTGGGAAATGTAGTCTCTGACTAGAAGACACATGTCAGCAACAAGTCCTCCCCGTGAATTGGAGATTATATATCTTTGGCAGACACAGCTTTCTCTGAGCAGATTTAAAGGAAGAACAGTAGAATGGAAGACGACTGAGGAGCCTTTACAACAGGCCTGAATGAACAGAAATGCGGGCCTGAACCAGGATACAGACAGAAGGAATGGGCAGGAGGGGATGGGCAAATCATTTTGTTCATGGTTAAATTTCTGAAGTACTTCTGAATCAAGCGTAAATTGAGACATAGTTGCATAACAACTTGTGAGCTGAGTGCTTATATTTCTAAATTAGTTCAGGTCCTCTCCCAGTTCTTCCTCAGGCATTATTTTATATTCCCACAACAATGGTGCAGCCAGTCTTGGCCCACAGTTTAAGTCGAGGAGCTCACTGAACTTAATTTGAAGTCATAAATTGGGTAATGAGATGCTTCTCAGTGAAGCTATTAGGATTAAGTCACCTACATCACCCAGTCCTGATGCCCTTTCCTAAAGACAGATGAGGACAACAATGACCCATATTTTTATACTGATTTACCACAGGTTGATTTATACGTCACTTCCTTCTCCCAGAGAGTTTTGGTTTACAAACCCTTTTTCGGTTCTCAGAGAAATCCTGGTAATGATATTATACTTATCTTTCCTGCTGGTTTGCATGAGGACTAACTAATAAAGAGGATTGTGAAGTGCCCTGCTGAAGAAATGCTTAATTACTTGATGACTTAAATGCTGTGAAAGTCTGTTCTAATTGCTTTGCTTTCATTAACCATCGCTCGAACAAGCTTCAGCTTTTTAATTATCAGAATATTCATTTTAAGGATTAGAAAAGGTATCTCCTTGTTAATTTGACTATGAGATGGCAAGATTAATAAAGTTTGCCCCTGGATACTTGGTTATTATTTTTCGAATTGCAAAACAGAAGAAATTAATAAAGACAAAAGAGAAATGGCTCCTCACCAACTAAACCTAAAATTCCTCTGTCCGGATCTAAGTTCAGCTCTGTTTCTTATTTTTTGTTTACAATTTTTTATGTGTAGAGACTTTCTATAGGAAAAAATACACCTGTGACTGTGAGAAAGGATCAAAATGAACTCACTACCTGTGATTTAACAGGACCTGAATAGGAAGGAACAGAAATGTGTCCAGAGACAAATTACAAAGTTTCTTCTAAATGTATGAAATGTATGTCTTGACAGCTGCTGCTTGACATAGTGAAGAAAGTGACTGGGAGAGAGGCTAGCGGTGACTCCAAGGAAGAAAACCAGACCTTCTGATACAGTGGGCCATCTGGGCTCTGGTAGGCAATGTCCTCTCTGGTGCACAGTTGACCCTGTGTCATCCTTGCCCCCAGGCTGTTAAGGCAAAATGGTCTCGTTGTGGTGAGGATAAGGCTGTCATGGGGACCAAGTCCTTAAATCACACAGGACAGGTGAGCTAATTTGAATTTAACCCATAGAGTGGGGTCATTTTTATCCGTGATACACACAGTGCTCCTTTCACCTTTACTGTTACATTTTGCATGAGGAATGATGAATAAAAGCTTTAATCTTACTGAAACTTTACTTAGCAGTCACGCAAATTCTCTTCTGATCTAACTAACAGTTATTCCATATGCTGACTACAAAGCCCCTTCACAAAGGCTTATTTTTTATTTCAAAGCCTGGGGAGGGGAGGTATCATTGTTCTGTTTTACAGATGTGGATGATGGTTAAAAGGGAGTGGGGTGTGGCTAAATGACATCCGAAGAATCTTCTGATTTAGCTATTTGATCTCATTTTATAAACACAGGAAGCCTGTACCTGCTAAGGATGGGGAAAACAGACTGGATTTGGATTTGACAGTCTTTCTACTGCTTAGGGTTCTGGGGCTGATGGAAAGTGATCAGTCAAAAAGCAGGTCACAGGGAGAGCTCAGGAAGGCAGGGATCTGGATTGTTGGTGCTTGAATATGAAGCCGTTGGTTGTTGCACAGTGCACAATTAGCAGTCAGATAGGAAATTCCCCACCAATAATTCTCAACTACTAGCACAATTGGAAGAAAGAAGAAAGCATAGAAAAGCAGATAACCCCTTCATTATTTGGCTCTCAAAATGCAGCCAGAAGTATAGATACTGATACAAAATATATACTCGAATAGTAAGAATGACTCAGTGCAGGGCCCACTCTTTCAAAAACATAGGGTCAGACAGGCCTGGGTTCAAATTCTGACTCCCCCACCAATGAGTTCTGCAAATTTGGTCGGTGACTTAACCTCTCTGCACTTTGGTTTCCTGATGCATACAATGATGACACTGATAGGACTTCTCTCATTTATTGAGTGGTTGTGTGATTTAAATGGCATAGTATATATAACACACCAATGCCTGGCTATTACTTTCATTATTGATATTTAATACACCTTTCTCACTGAGTCAGAACCCAATGCCATCTTCTTTAATTACACTTACCAAGGGATTTACCCAATATCTCCTTGCAGTGTTAGTTCTCTTTCTTAATAAATATGCCTTATATCCTCAAGTTAAGTATAGCCTTTGAAGGATGGAGATCCATTTTTTTTTAGGATTCTCCAGAGTGCTCAGCACTGTGTCATGTACATAGTGGGTGATTTATAAGACATTTCTGGATTAATGTCACCTTGGTATCCAGCTCTGACCTCAGTCCCACTCTTTCCTTGTTTACTGAAAGCTTGAGAGTCAATGGAAATTTTAATGGAAAAAGGCCTGGGGTGTAAGGGAGCGGAGGCAGGACCCACTAGTATAGCTGAGAAAAGTGTGAAGTTATGAATCTAATTATCCGAGACTAGATTTATTTCAACTTGCTGGTTATGTCTTTGGGCATAAATGGAGAACATAATTTCCTCCTCATAGGGTTCACATTAGGGTAAATAAGTACTATGTGTTGGTATGGGGGGAGGGACTCAGCAAATGTTGTCTTTTCTTTGCTTCCTCTACACTGATGACATCAATGAATTTAAAAACATTTACAAATGTTCCCTTCCCATTCAGCTGCCATTACTAGGTTTGGATTATTACCAACACAATTACCTTTGCGATACCTAAGCCATGTTCATACATATAGGCCAGATTAAACATGGCTTGAGCGCTGTGGTATTTGTCGGCTGCAATGCTGTAATGTGTGGCTGCTGTTTGATAGTCCTTCTTAGTCCCGTAGCCATAGTAATGGTAATCTCCAATTTTTACTCTAGCGAATGCATTGCCTGATAGAAATATTAGAAAGAGAAGTAAAAGAACTCCAATGACTCACATACAGTTCCTAGTAACTCAACTTGATACTATACATAGAAAAAGAAAAGCAAAAGACTCAATATCCTAGAATCAAGATTAGATATAACATGGATATTAATTATAATGCTCATTGTTAGCTGTCTTCCTTGCAGGATAACTCCCATGGTATAGTACAAATGTTCATTCCTAAAGAATAAAAATTATGAATTTTACCTTTTAAGTTCATTTTGTGAAGGTAGGTCAACTCTTGAAAAACTAGATCCCACCCCTCCAGTTCTCAAACTTCACCCCTGAAGCTGTGTTCTCCTGCATCACCCATGTCTCCCTCTTTCCTAGATTAGTCCTGTCAGTCATTTAAACACACTTTGGTATCTTTTATGAATGAAAACAAATCCTTTCTTTATCCCATGGTGTGTCCTTTTAACTACTCCCCATTTCTCTGTTCCCTTCACACTCAGCCTTTCCAAAGTGTGTTCTATACTCAATGTCTCCAAAGCTGCACCTCCCACATACTCTTAACCCACTCCAATCTGGCTTCTGCCCCTCTTCATGGAACTGCCACTTTTAAAGTGGTTGGTAACCTCCATGCAGCCAAACCCATTGGCCACTTCCCTGTCCTCATCTCATTGGACCTATCTGCCCAAGAACTTTCCTCTCTTGACACCAGTGACATCTCATTCTTTGGGTTTCTCTCCTGCCTCATCAGCCTCTCCTCTTTAAAAAAAAAAAAATTTTTTTTAACATTTATTCATTTTTGAGAGACAGACAGAGCACAAGCTGGGGAGGGGCAGAGAGAGACGGAGACACAGAATCTGAAGCAGGCTCCAGGCTCCGAGCTGTCAGCACAGAGCCCGACGCGAGGCTCGAACTCACGAACTGTGAGATCATGACCTGAGCCGAAGTCAGATGCTCAACCGACTGAGCCATCCAGGCGCCCCCAGCCTCTCCTCTTTAGACACTTGCCTGACTCCTCCTCCACCCAGCTTCTAAATGTTGGAATATCAAGGATTTATTAGTTAAATCCTCTTCTCCTTTCTTCTCTTCCTTCTTTTCTCTTCTTTCTCTCCCACCCTCCTCTATCTCAACTCTTTTTCTGGGTGATCTCAATTAGTGCCATGCCTATCTTGATGTTTACTCTTCCTGAATTTTATCTACAGTCCTGTCTTTCCCCCAAGCGCCCGACTCTTCTAATCACCTCTTTGACTTCTCTGCTGGGATCCCAAAATATTCAGTGGAGATTCCTAACACGCTGCTACCTCCCTCCCTCAAACCAAACCAAACCAACCCAAATAATCAGTTTCTTCCCAACCACAGTGCTAGCATCACTGTTCAGGCACAAATTTAAATTAGTTATTCCTAATTGTTTTCCCCTCCCTTCCATTATAGAATCCATTAGCAGGTCCTGTTGGTTCTACTCTCAAACACACCTGTTTCTTGCTGTCTCCTCCACCACCTAGTTGAAGCCTGGAATACTACAATATCTTCCAAACTGTTCTTTTATTTCCACTTTCCAATATATTCTCCATACAACAGCCAGGATGATTTTTTTTTAATATAAAGTCAAATCATATTATTCCCTTGTGTTAACCCCCAAAGTGCTTCACTTTGCACTTGGAATAATATCCAGACTTCCTAGCTGACCTACAAGTTGTGCTTCATCTGCCTTTTCTGCCTCCCTGACTAGCCTCATGTTACTTTCTCAACATGCTCTAGCTTTCTTAATTTTCCTAATACTCCTTCAAAACATCAAGCTCATTCTTGCTTCAGGACCTCCGCATTAAGATTCTTCATGCCTGTCTGCCTGGCATGTTTGGACTAACTCTGACTCTTCATGTGTCTGGTTTCTCATTATTCAGACCTCACTGAAAATGTCATTTCCCTCCTAGAGGCCTTCTCTGACTACTGTGTCTAAAGCATTGACTCAGCCCCCCACTCTGGGAGTTATCTATCTCACCTCCATGGTTTATTTTCTTCACAGCATATATCACTGTTATTTTATTTGTTTAGTCTCTCTCTCCTTCATGAATTTATTTTCTCTCTCTCTCTTATGAGGACAAGAACTTTGAAGGTCTTGATCACTGATTATAGTCCCAGACCTAGAATGATACTTGACAAATATTTATGGAATGAATGGACAAACATGGTAGGAAACTTTTTAGAAAATGCTTTCTCCAAATGTTATATAATTTAGAATCTTACTTTGCAACAAATTTGGATATAATCAGGAGTAGAAAAAAATTCACGTGACTTTTAAGATATGAGACTTCAATCTTTTGAAGACAACTTAGTGATGACCTTTGGGGATCCATGTTTCCATTCACTAGGAAAATGTTGATTGAAAAGATGAGGGAATGCTAACTAGGACATCCATCTCAGGTGTGGCTAACCCCTCTAGCACAGTCTAGACTTTCATGGAAAAGGAGAAAGCACCCTGTGTAGTATGTTCTCAGGCGTATACTTAAGGGCTATAGGACTCCTCCATCCCAAATTTTCTCCATATTTGGCCTACTGCAATGCCTAAAATCCTTTGCAATTGATTCCTTTGGATACTGAAGTTCTCTTAATCTTCTAGAATCCTCTATTGGATTCTAATGTAATACCATGACCCATCTTTAGCTCTGAGTAGAGGTATCATTATAAAATTCTTAAGCTGCCGAAGACATTAGTTAATAGGCTTTGCTTCCCAGGTGCTTCAAAATATACAGGTGGATGAGGGGTGCCTTGGTGGCTCAGTTGGTTAAGCATCTGACTCTTGATTTCAAGAGGCTCAGGTCATGATCTCATGAGTTTAAGCTCCACTGTCAGTGCGGAGCCTGCTTTGGATTCTCTCCCCCACCCTCTGTCCACGCCCCCTTCAAAATAAATAAATAAACTTTAAAAAATGTACAGGTATCTGGGGGCAAGTCCTTATAGAAATGCTACCCAAGAGAAGGGATTGGAGGGACCCAGAGAGGCAAAAGTCCCCTGAAGCCCGAATGAGAAACCCACTTCGTTTCTAATTTTGCCCAAAGCTGCCCTCCTTTGACCCTGAGATTCTTTCTGGGCTATAACCACAAATGGACAGGACTTCTATGTGTTTTCAAGCTTTAGAAGGGGTAGGCAGGACCTCTAAAATCTCTGAGAAGGAAGGCAGTGAACAGGCAGGTTCTCCAGAGGATTCAGCTCCACCCTAATTGGGGGGCTGACTGGGGGAATATAGTGACCCTGACAGGCTCTCAGGGGGTCACTTGACAGTGGGGAGGATTCCTCCTTGAATTTCACAGTCACAGCGTGGTGACTGGGTCCTGATGGTTCAGCGTTCTCTGCACACACTGCACCACCAGTGCTGATCAGAAATGTTCATTATTAGATTTCCTAACCTAAAGTGAGGTACAGCAGCCTCATCTCCAGAGACACTCATGCCTGACCTCTCTTGTGACACATGGTTAATTTTAGCAGCCTGACTTTTTTTTTTATATTGGAGAATTCTGTTTAATATTAATGTCCCCTCATTTTCAACGTCTCTTTTCCTTGGTGCAATTTCCACACATTTCCTGGCTTGGAACAGGCCTGTATTTGTTGCAATTGAGCTGATTTGCCACAGCTGAGAGATTGCTGGTGTTGTTTCCCTACACCAAACAAGGTCTTTATTGCATTTTAGAAAACATACACTTTTCTTCTTTAGGGAATTTCTCACTAAAGTTGCATGGATGGCTTGCTGCTGGGTCACCTGCTCAGCTAGATCTGAGAAGGCACCCCCCCATAACTTTTCCCCTCTGCCTCATATTAATATCAGTTGAGAATTTTTCCATACCATTCACTTCTTATAGAAAAGAGGTGATTCGACCTCAGCATGAGACAATTTTAAGCAACTTAATTGGAAGTAAAATTGCTCTTTTATTGCATGAGACTTCCTCACATATCCAAATGCAGATAGAGCTTTGCAGCATCTGTTTGCTTTTAATAATGCCACCTGCCAATGCTTTCCCACCAGTGCTATTACACTTTCCTTATCACATGTGAATCCTGTAAGCGGAGCATGGGAACCCTGGGAATAGGGAGAGGATCATGATATTTGACTCTGGGTTTTGTTCTGTTTTGTTTTCTGACGCTAACATGTTAATAGTTATAATAAAGGTGTGAAGTTGGTAGTAATCATCAATGTGGCACTTCAAAAGAGACATCAAATGAGTCTTAAATCCATAAGTAATTTTACCTATAAATTCATTGAGACATAGGTCACTACTCAGAAAAAAACTCAGCAAATGTGTGACTGAAGCCAGAACAACAAAACTGGTTTCCTGAGTAAAATTGTCATATTTCAAACAATTGTTCTGGTGCCATGGAGACAGAGCCATAGAAAAATGTCTATTGTTTACTAAACCAGGACCTTGAGAATAACAAAGAAATTCCTGGAAATGACCTGTCAACCAAAGACTGACCCTAACATTGGTACAGTTTGAAATACCACCTTCTTGATATCTTGCTTATACACCCGAGAACTCGGCTGAAGCGAATCGATGACTAATAGTGGACAGAGACCAGGTACGTGCTTATTTTTATCTAGGTTCTATACCTTGAATGGCAGCTCGATTCCATAGGAGAAGTGCCATTGGATACATCTTCTCTTTTTCAAGAATTTTAACCTTTTCTAAAAAAAGGAGAAATTTCATTAGGAAGGCTTAAAATACCCGTGTAGTAAAGTCATTTATGCATATGTATGATTGGGGAATTGCAGAGAATTTTAACTTATCTTACTAGATTCCAAAATGAATGCTGAATTGCTTTGAGCTACTTCATACCCCATTTCTGCAAGCAGTGCATACTGAACAAGAGAAGAATCTATATCACCATCCTTATAGGCAAAGTATGCTGTCAGGAATTTCTCAGCCCAGTGGCCTAGTTCACAGACACCTTTATAAAGCTGTATATGGAAAAAGAAATCAAGCAGACTAGTTAGCCAATATACTTCATCCCAGGTAAATGATGAATGAAGTCAAACTTCAGCTCCTGCTGGCTGGTCAGGCAAGGATTTCAGGTTTAAAGCATGGCTTTTTTGAAAATTATTTAGGGTGAAGACATAATACCTTTCATAGGCACAGAGATTACAAGTGTGTATTTTTTGGTCTTGAGCTGAAACTTCCGGAGGCTTATTTTAAATTTGCGTAATAAACTTTCCTGACTTAGAGGCTATTTGGCAGGACAAGAATACATCGACTTCTTTTTTTAAAAAAAGGACTTTTCTGGGCACTGCTACACTGCAAGGGTGAGTGATAAGGCCACAGCTGATGTGGAAAGGAGAGAATGAAGGGAAGACAGTGCCTGAGGGTGTAGGTGACATAACCACGAGGGAGGTGTGCAGAGCTCTGTGGGGACAAACGTCAACTTAGCTGAATAGCCCTTATGTAACCAAAAGAGGCTAGCCATACATAATTCATTAGGAAGTTGGCAAAGGAGCAAATCTAAAGATAGATTATTAGCTGGCAGCTTTTGAAATGAGTTTCAGAGGGGCCAGATTGCAACATGGAGGTATTTATATTGGTGCAGTGGAAGTGTTTAATAAATCAATGAAGGACATTAAAGTCCTAAAAGCTTTCTTTTGAAAAGTACATCACTGGCTCAGGCTGAAAGAATTCACCTTCTCAGCTGTCATCCAAATCCTCAAAAACCTAAGGGCCCTGCTTTCTGGGAAGCAGTGGGCTGCATTTTCTGGGCTAAATCAAGACTTTTCATTACCCACAACTCTCAATCCCACTGAAGTGTCCAGTTGCCCCGGCCATTTGAGTGAAGGCTGAGACAGAGCTCCTTAACTGAATTCTGAGGTGAGCTCTGAACCTGATGAAAAGCCAAAGGCAAGAGAGGAGGGATCATTTCTCTTCTTCCCTTTCCCAGCCTGAGTTTCAGCACTGCTTTTCCTCCCTGGCAAAAGTCAGTGTTCACGCTGTCAACTGGGAGAGGTAATATCTATAAAATCATAGACACCTACAACTTAAGGACAGTTTCACCTCCTCTGTGTGATAAATGAAAAATACTTTAAAAACATCCCATTATTTACCTCCACAGCAGTTCTGCACGATCTTAACACTCCTGTTCCTGTTGCGTACATCTCGGCCAGATAATAAATGGCGAGGGGCTGCCCACTCTGAGATGCCAAGTAAAAATATTTGAAGGCAAGTTTATAATCCTTCCATACTCCAGAGCCAGCTGAAAATTAAAATTATTTTGAGCCACCCCTCATTTGTGTTATTTTTTATATTATAATCTATGAATATAATGGTCATAGTGATGCCTTCTGTTTTAAATAAGAACCAACCAATCCATAGCCAACCAAAAGTCAAGCTGTTACAGATCCACTATTTGTAGGGGGGAAAAGCTGAGTTTGATTATAAGTAAGAATAAGGAAATTTATGTTCTTGACCCATTCAGAAATCTGAAGAAGGACTCTTTAGTCTCATGAAGATATCTCTTCAATACAACATACCTAAGATTAATAAAAGTAAACTAAGTGTGGGCTCTGAGTACCAGGGACAACAACCAGGATGTGGCTCACCATCCTTGTCCTTCCACACCAGAAGACCAGTGTAGTGCCTCCCTGTCATAACTATGGATTTTGGAGCAGGCAAATCCCAGCTCCAGGAGGCTCAACTCAGATTCAACTCATGCTTGGAGCAAGGAGAGGCATTTGGAACTAGGATAGAAAAATCAGCATACTCTCAGCACCTGGGATTCATATCCTGGCTCTTTCATTATTCCTTTGTGAGTTGGGTACTTCTAGGCCCTTTCTTTTCAAAAGGAGAGGCTTTCGCTAGATGGTCCCTAAATTGTCTTCCAGCTGTTAACATTTCATAACCTTTAGAAGCGGTGCCACTAAGAGCAAAGGCTCTGGAGGCAGATCACTTGGGCTTGAATTACCAGTTCCACTAACTGCGTGATCTTGGGCAAGCTCTTGGACCTTAATATGGCTCAGTTTGCTTATCTATAAACTGTAGGATACCCCCTAGATGTGCTGATAGGACTAAATGAGTAAATGCACATAAAGACTTAATAAACATTAGCCATTACTATTTCTCTTATTTTAGAAGTTTGAGTTATCTGATGGATCCTGGGCCTGCAACTTGTAATGAGCCAGAAGAACAAGGCCATCTTAGGCAACTACCCAAGACAAGTACAAAACAGGCAATCTCCTTGGGCTACTAAAGAAAATGTCAGCGGATGTTGCAGTCTGCTGCTACCCTAGCTCTACCTCTGAAAGGAAGGACTTATGGGGATACTCAGGTATGTTCAGATCTCATGGTACTTGTCTTGGGCACTCCCTCTCTCAGTCCCCACAGAGTATTACAAAGTTTCATGGCTTCCTAAGACCTCCTACCCCAATCACTCTACCTTCCCTCTCAGAAGACAACTTGGTACCTCCTAGCTCATTGAGGAAATTCTTGCATTGTCTTTTCTCACTTGCTTCTCTCTCCTTCCTTCCAGATTTACATCTACAATATCCTTTCCTCCACCTCTCCAGTCTTTGAGGGTGAGAAGTTCCTCCTCTTTATTAAGGCTAATGAGGCCTCCACCTACCTGGGTGCAGTCAGATCCTAATGCCACCCTATTTTTTCCAGAAGCTCTTCATCAATTATCTCATAACTTCCATGACACATTAATTATCTCCAATAATTGGCTGGCTCTTTTTTTTTGTCAGAAATTATACCCAGGTCTCCCATCATCTTAAAAAGAATTCCCTCTTGGTTCTTGGTCTCTCTCATGCTACCATTCCATCCTTCTTCCTCCATTTAAAGGCACACAACTTCCAAGAATATTTTTACTTATCTACTTTCTCACCTTCCATTCATACCTCAACACATTGTGTCTGGTTTCTATACCAACCAGTCCAATGACCACATAAACATTCTCTATATTGACAAGGCCCATAGATTCTCAGACCTTTTTTATTTTTTGTTTGTTTTGTTTTGTTTTGTTTTGAAGAAGCAGGTTTCTCATTACATTTCACAGAGGGGCTCATTCGTTTATTCTTTCTTGACAGTTCTATCCCATGGCTTCCTTAAAATCACTTTTTCCCCCCATTCCTCTGATCATGCTTTTTCAGTCTTTTTGTGTCTTCACAGTCCCCACAGAGTCTTCACTCTTTCTTTGCCAATCTTTTCAATACAACAGTGAGGACCACCAGATTTCTGACCATGGCCCACTGCTCCTTTCATGTTTTCGTTTCCTTTTGCAGTCTCAGCTACTTTTAATTAACTCCTATATGTTGATGCCTCTCAAATCTTTCTCTTCAAGTTTGACCTTTCTTGTGAGTTTCATACCTGTTTTGGGGTGTCCACTGGACATCACAAGGCACTTCAAACTCAACCTTTTCAAAAGTGAGCTTCCTGACTATACCTTTTGCCTCCTTCCTCAACTGGTATCTTTTCCTTCAGTCTTCAAATTCCTCCTCAGATTGCTGCCTCAAATTCTATCTAAATCAATCACTCCAGCAATTTGATTTTTGTTAAAAAAGGAGTAGACTTAACAATGCATTTATCATATGGATCCAGGAAGGACCCCGAAGAGCCAAAGTAATGTTGAAAAAGAAAACCAAAGCTAAAGAAAACCAAAGCTAAAGGCCTCACAATTCTGGACTTCAAGCTGTATTAGCAAGCTATAATCATCAAGATAGTATGGTACTGGCACAAAAACAATTACATAGATCAGTGGAACAGAACAGAGAACCCAGAAATGGACCCACAAATATATGGCCAACTAATCTTCGACAAAGCAGGAAAGAATATCCAATGGAAAAAAGACAGTTTCTTCAGCAAATGGTGTTGGGAAAACTGGATAGCAACATGCAGAAGAATGAATCTGGACCACTTTCTTACACCGTACACAAAAATAGACTCAAAAATGGATGAAAGACCTAACTGGAAGACAGGAAACCACCAAAATCCTAGAGGAGAGAACAGAAAACAACCTCTTTGATCTTGGCTACAGCAACTTCTTATTAGACATGTCTCCAGAGGCAAGGGAAACAAGAGCAAAAATGAACTATTGGGACCTCATCAAGATAAAAACCTTCTGCACGGTGAAGGAAACAATCAGCAAAACTAAAAGGCAACCGACATAATGGGAAAAAATATTTGCAATGACATATTGGATAAGGGTTAGTATCCAAAATCTATAAAGGACTTACCAAACTCAGCACCCAAAACACAATCCAGTGAAGAAATGGGCAGAAGACATGAATAGACACTTTTCCAAAGAAGACATCCAGATGGCTAACAGACACATGAAAAGATGTTCAACACTGCTTATTATCAGGGAAATACAAATCAAAACCACAATGAGATACTACGTCATACTTATCAGAATGGCTAAAATTAACAACTCAGGAAATGACAGATGTTGGCGAGGATGTGGAGAAAGGGAAACACTTTTGCACTGCTGGTGGGAATGTGAACAGTGCAGCTATTCTGGGAAAATAGTATGGACGTTCCTCAAAAAATTAAAAATAGAGCTTCCCTAGGACCTAGCAATCGCACTACTAGGTATTTATCCAAAGGATGCAAATAGCTGATTCGAAGGGGCACATGCACCCCAATGTTTAGAGCAGTGCTATCAACAATAGCCAAATTATGGAAAGAGCTCAAAAGTCCATTGATTGGTGAATGTATAAAAAAGATGTGGTATATAGACACACCCACAATGGAATATTACTCAGCAATCGAAAAGAATGAAATCTTGCCATTTGTAACAGCGTGGATGGAACTAGAATGTATTATGCTAACTGAAATAAGTCAGTCAGAGAAAGATAAATATCATACGATTTCACTAATGTGGAGTTTAAGAAACACAATAGATGAACAGAGGGGAAGGGAAGGAAAAATAAGATAAAAAGAAAGAGGCAAACCATAAGAAACTCTTAAATACAGAGAACAAACTGAGGGTTTCCTGGAGGAGAGGTGTGGGGAGGGGGATGGGCTTACTGGGTGATGGGCATTAAGGAGGGCACTTGTGGTGAGCACCAGGTGTTATATGTAAGTGATGTATCACTAAATTCTACTCCTGAAACCATTATTACACTATATGTTAACTAACTTGGATTTAAATAAAATTAAAAAAAAATAATGCACTTGTCAGTCTTGGCACAGTAGCTATATTTGTAGGACTTACAGTAGTACATGAAGCCTAACTGAAACTGTGCGTTGGGCCATCCTTTCTCTGCAGCTTTCTGAAAGTATTTAAGTGCTTCAGCATAATTCTGCAAGATAATTACACTTTATTACTCAAAGGTGTATTGTATAACTCCATGGTAACAATTGCCTTCTTTTTTTTTAAAGAGTATAGATAGTGCCTTATGTGATTTAGGCTAATTAAAATAGTATCAGAAGCATTATAGACTTTATTTAATAATTATATTATACTCTATTAGGAAATAATTATCTCATTTTCACTGGAAATTATGTCTTTTCCTACACTGACAGTATTTTTTTTTTTTTTTAGATATTGGGGAAAGGTCACCCAAAAGTGCAGAGGATAACAAAAAAGATAAATTTCTCTGTCAGAAAAAGTCTTCAGGAATTATATAATTTCTAAGGTTACTTAGAATCTATAATTCTAAGATATAAATATGGTCATTATTCTTGTCACAAATTTGTTCTATGTCTCTTTGGCAAATATTCCACTGGATTATTTTATTTCTATCATCAAATACGATAGTTTGGCAAACTAGGTATTAGACACTAATTCTTTTAAATTAATCAACAATCATGAATTTTACCCCATAAATTGCTAGAAATATGTTGAAAAGATAATGAAATTATTTAACTTACCACAGGAACTCCTTTCCCATAAAAGTAAAGAAGACCAAGCCCATGAAGACCAATTGCATTGCCCTGGAACAGTTTTAAAAATCCAAGTAAAGTCCCAGAAGAATTCATGATAAGGTAAATTATGGAAAAATCATTCTAAATATTTAAAATGCACCCAGTAGAGGTTTAATCAAGGCAGGTTAATGAGACAGTTGGTAAATTATTCTGTCTCTCTCTAGTTTCTCCTTTCATGCCTTCATAACCCCCTCTGACGAGAAAAGAGGGGAAAAAAAGCCAAATCTTTTCTCCATTCTTTCATTCAGCATTTATTTAGCGCTAGCTTGTGAGTGACTCCATAATAGGCATTGGACAGACGTAGGAGGTGAAAGTTGAGAGGTGACAAAACAATGATCCCTGTCTTAGAGAGTTCACAGGCTAGTGGGCTCTGATCCACTAAGTAGCGCCTCTTAAAATAGTCACGTCAAAAGTGGTAAGTCCTGTACTAGAAACAGATCAGGAGTCTTGTGGACACCTAGAAGGGGGACTCAACTGCCTAGATGAGGGTAGAGACTGAGGGGATTGAGTTGTCAGAGGTGGTTGACATTTGAGTTTGGTCTTGAAGGATGTGTAGGAATTTTCCAGAAGAGAGAAGTCTATCCAGACACTTGTTACCTGCTTTGGTCAAAGGAGGTTGACATAAATGGCCAAGTAACATTTTAGAGATTCTTTGAATTTCGATCTAGCAATTCTGGATGGTAAGGTGTTGTTAATATATGTTTCTTTATTTAAATCTGATTGCTTATAACATCATCAGTGTTTTCTTTTCCATCTGATGCTAAATTAACTACCATTTCTTTTTCTGATTAGTATTCTAAAGAGCCTATGGAATGGAGTATTTATTTAGCATGTTTAGAATTTAGCACATGTTCAAATACATCAGTACTTTGCATATCAATCCTGGATGAAGTGTGAACCTTGAAAGTGACTTCCCCAACCAGGAAGCCCACTTTTCTTTTTGTCTCCCATCATGTATTTCACCTGCTAGTGACTGAGTAAAGAGGCACATTTGGCCACTCGACTGTCATTCAGTAGACATATAGGTTTGTTTTACAGGTTTATAGTATTTCCTCAGGACTCAAGTTTTGATAGAAAACTCTCCAGATTCTTTTTACCACCTAAATGTAGTTATTGTGGATGCAGCCAGAGTCCCTCTCACTGTTACAGGAATAGCACGTAACTAGAGAAGGCATAGTTCAAAAATTATTTCGAAACTCCAAAGTTTGAGCCTATGCATATCAAAGGGCCAGCTATTCCAAGAATTCTTAAGGATGGTCCAGCTGTATTTAAAACCAGTGGTATACAACTGCTCTCTTCTTCTTGCCTGTCCCCTTACTATGTATCTACTTGTCCTAGAACTCTTGGGAAAGTCTGGTCTGGGGGTGGTAAGGCCTTGTGTGATGGATGTTGTAAAGTCTGGTGAGTCTGTCTTCTAACAGTGAGTCTGTCTTCATTCAGGTGTTGAGAAAAATAGAAGAGAAGGGAAATGAGAATAGAGAAGGAGGAAGGGAGAGAAGAGGGTAAGGTTTCTAACCTTTGGCTCACCAACTATTTATGGACCAGAGTACTTGTTTATAATTTTCAGGTCAGGAGTGGCCCACTTAGATCCCTCCAGGAGCCATTCAGGTAATGTAAGTAGTACATCAATCTGGTGATAGACTGACAGAGACTGAGGCAAATCAGAGAGTTCCTGCCCTGTTTAAAGGCAGTAGCACCACTCAAGAAACTGCCCCAGGCAACTGTTGTCACATGGAGTGGCAGCCTCATATGGTCAGCTCTTCCCATTTTCCAAGAAAAGCTGGATGTCCAAATTTGAATATGTAATTTCCTGGTTTGTTTTTTTACTTCAATATAGTTCACACGATGTTACATTAGTTTCAGGTGTACAGGATAGTGATTCGACAACTTTATACATTGCGCTGTGCTCACAGGTGTAGTTACCAACCGTCACCATGTAAAACTTCCTAATTTTTGAAACACTTTTTGGGCCAAATAAAACATATGTGTAGGCAATCCCCCCATGAACAACTTCCACTTTAGGGCTCATTGCTCTTGCTTAGGTTAAGTGACATGAACTTAGAAAGCAGATGGTCATTTATTGTCAAATATGTAATGAACTTCTATGTACTAAGACCAGTATCCTCCTCTAGTTGAGGAGACATGGCCTTCAGATAATCGGAGAGAAGGCATAAGGTAGAAGCAGTAAAATTCCAGCAGTACAGAGAGTGAATGCAGGGCAAGTGCAGAAAAGAGAAAAATTATATAAGCCAAGGTGGGTAGAGGTGGTTTTGTGGAAGGAGAGAGGATTGAGCTCTCCTCTGGGAAATGGGTTGGATTCAAAATGGGGGATTTTAGGGAGGGAGTCAGAATGACAGAAGTGATAGGGATGGGCCTGATCTGTGAAAGAGAAAACCAGAAGAATATGGTCCAATATGGACCCTACAGGATAACTGCTCATGTTTCTGAGAAAATAAGATAAAAGAAGTCATAAAGACTGTAGCTTTGTATCCTGATCTGATGACTTAAAAGCAAATTAAAACACACACACACACACACATATATATATATATATATATATATATATATATATATATATATAAAATCTTAATGTTATATCTTATCTTAATATTATATATAGTAAGAGTATGGGTATGCAGAAAGTGGAAGATAGAAAGACAGAAAACCTTTTACTTTGGTAGTGACCCCAAGTGAGAAATCTAATAAACCATCAACCAGGTGATGATAAAGGAATATATGGTCATGTCCACCTGATGCCATTCAGAATAATTACCTAAATATAATTTTAGATTTATCTGTAAAGAAAGACAGCTCAGATTTAGAACACAAGTAGCTCAGATTCCTGCCCTGAATAGCTTGGAAGCCGGGTTAATTTACACACCCAACTTCCTGGCGTTATTCCTTTGGGCTGACAAATCAGTGTTATTTGCCAGATTACAAGAGATCTTCCTCTGTTACTTAACCCCACCTCTTTTTCAACCAGTTTTCCCGTCATCCTAATCTAATGGTACTTCATCCAGATCACTTTCTTGCTGAGCAAAAATTTCATATAAATTACAAGGGAGAGGAGAGGAGAGGAGTACCAGCCTTCTCAGTAATTTACAACACAATAGCAGCAGCTCCAAGGTGCTACTCACTTATAAATAGGCTCCTAAAGCAGCATGTGGGCTTTTAAAAACTGAGTACAGTTGAAAGTATTCCCCAGTTTGAGCACATCTTCACTCCCAGTGTTGCAGTAAGGTATTGTGAGACAATGAAATCCTTCCTGCTGTGCAGGGTTAGAAAGTTTATCAAGGCCATTTCCCAGCATTAGGCACATGGGTGTTACAATGAGGATGTTCTTAATGCACTAAAGGAAGTCAGAGCAGTCTACTAAGTTTTATCAGACAGATGCTAGCATCACTGAGCCCCGGAATCAAGACAAAAATTTTAGTGGCAGGAGCCATATTATTCCATTTCTATATTCCTTCATAGATCCAATTAATTCAGCTTTGGATATGCTTTGAAGTTCACTCTACCTAACTGGCCCCAGACTGCAGAAGATAAGCTGACCCACTGCATCTACTGTAAGCCAGGCACTGCTTTAAGTACTTTGCAATAAAAGGCATATAAACATAAACTCATTAGATCCTGGCAACAACAATATGAGGCAAATCTTCTTATATTCCCATTTTACATTTGGGAAAATTGAGGCACAGAGAAGTTAAGTAACTTGCCCATGGTCACACAGGCAGTATGCTGCAGGGCTGGCATTTACACCATGGATTCTGCCTCCAGAGTTGTGTCTCAACCATCTTGTCCTGGTCACCTATCTGATGATCTGCCTGGGCCAGGGAGATTTCTGGCCTTTGAGTAAGACTAAACTGGAAAAAACTAGGCATTTCTTATTTGTCCTTGTCCTGAACTTACTGCAGATATTGTTTGAGTTTTCCCTTCCTCTGTCCTCTTTTATTTCCTGTTTCCTGAGCTAGGTGGCCTCACCTACTGGGGGACAGAAAGCTGAGCTTTGTTTGCCCTCATGCTGGAGAAGCATGTCATTGCCATTTTTCGCTTACTGAGAAAACAAGATGTGTCTCCCCCTATCCCAACTCCACATTTTATTGTCAATGATATTCTTCTCCAAGACATGAAACTCCCAGGCTCATTACTTGGGCATGGGGCTTTGAAATCAACTCTTCTGCATGAGTCTGCATGTAATAAAAGCCAAGTGTTTTAAAGTGCTTACAGAAATGGGCTGAGTACATACCTTACTGGCTGCCATGGAAAAGTATTTGAAGGCAGTTGCGTTATTTTGTGGGGCTGCAGCGTTCCCCTCTAAATACATCTACAGAAACAAACAAGAGGATGTAAAAAAAAACTGAGGGATTTGTGGGTGATTAAAATGTTTTAGAACTACATAGAAGTGATAGTTGGCCAACATTGTGAAATGCAGTGAATGTCACTGAATATACAGTTTAAAATTGTTGATTTTATGTTGATTTCACCTCAATTTTAATCAAAGAAAAAACTGAGGAAGCAACCTACAACACACATTCTGGAGTGACCTGGCCTAAGGGCAGAGAAACGGACCCTATTTTGTGTCTTTGTCACTGTTTCCTTCCATCTAAATTAGTATGTAGCACTTCTGGAAAAGGAGCATTTGTCCCCATGGTTACTAATGCAAATTGGCCGCAGGGAGCCAAGGGCAGCACTTGGGGGGATGAATGGTCTTTGAAGGAGAGAAAAAAATGTTCTTCTTTAGAGGAACTGTCCACAAAAGTTGCTCAGCAGCCGAGGGCCCTCCCTTGATAGTTGGCCCCAGGATGGACTTTGGTCGGCTTAGAGCTGGTTCTCATTTCCAGGGTGTAGGAAGGAGGCATCTCACGGGAGGCGGGGGGTGGGAGGGGTGGGGGGTGGCTATACCAGTTAGATGTTCAGTTCGCCCAGATCTCTTGTTACATGTCAGAGTAGGGGGTCATGGTGGTGGTAGGGGTCTCTGCCCAGGAACCCTGAGCCAGGTGCACTTTCAAGGCTGTTTTTGGTGCCTCAGACAAAGGCTGCTGTTGTATGGGGCTTTTTCTCAAACTGTCACCTCAAGAATACTATCCTCAGTCTGTAGTGGAATGCCCTGGCCAGCTGCTTCCATGAAAGACATCTGTCATGCTATACTGGATTCAATTAGCTGGTACCATTAGTTTCTTAGGTTTTTAAGAAATGAAAAGTACTGATCAAGATGAAGCATGTACCTTTCCTATAAATGCCATGGCATTTGCACTCCCAGCCTTTGCTGCCTTTAAGAAGTAGTATAATGCTTTCTGGAGAGAAAAGGAACAAACAGTATTATTGACAGTCACAAACATATCCTACAAAATGTTTCTCAAACCAAACTTTATTTCATTTAACATACATTCAAAAAATATCTATGAAATGCCCACACTGTTTAAGGCACTATTTCAAATGTTATTTCAACCATAAACCTGAAGAGTGGGTGCCATATAGAGTTCACAAATATAATTTTAAAATGTGAGGACTGTTCCTTGCATGTGGAAAGGCATCATGGGCATGTGGCTTTGTGGAGGACAGATGAATCCCACCTATAGAACTACATAGTTCATTATTTTGAAAAAGTATGCTTCAATGTTAACAGTATGTACTTATTTTATAAGACATTTTGTACAATTTGGTAGAATTGGACATGCAGCCTCCTAATGTTTATAAGGCCGAGTGAGTAAAAGACACCTCTAGCTCCTGCTGAGACTAAGTCTTTTTTTTAAAATATATAATTTATTGTCAAATTGGTTTCCATACAACACCCAGTGCTCATCCCAACCAGTGCCCTCCTCATGCCCATCACCCATTTTCCCCTCTCCCCCACCCCCCGCCATTAACCCTCAGTTTGTTCTCTGTATTTAAGAGTCTCTTATGGTTTGCCTCCCTCCCTCTCTGTTTGTAACCGTTTTCCCTCCTCTCTTCCCCCATGGTCTCTATTAAGTTTCTCAGGATCCACATATGAGTGAAAACATGGTAACTGTCTTTCTCTGCCTGACTTATTTCACTTAGCATAATACTCTCCAGTTCTATGCACGTTGCTACAAATGGCCATATTTCATTCTTTCTCATTGCCAAGTAGTATTCCATTGTATATATAAACCACATCTTCTTCATCCATTCGTCAGTTGATGGACATTTAGGCTCTTTCCATAATTTAGCTATTGTTGAAAGTGCTGCTATAAATATTGGGGTACAAGTGCCCCTGTGCATCAGCACTACTGTATCCTTTGGGTAAATTCCTAGCAGTGCTATGGCTGGGTCATAGGGTAGTTCTATTTTTAATTTTTTGAGGAACCTCCACACTGTTTTCCAGAGCGGCTGCACCAGTTTGCATTCCCACCAACAGTGCAAGTCTTTTTATAGAAGTGAACTTCAGGCTAATTCTTTCTAAAGCAAAATGAAGGAGGCCAGCCTAGCCTCTGCTTCTCTCTAGGTTGTAACATTAATTGAAACGCTCAGTCTAGAACATCTAAGGGCTGACCTGTCCCTTGTTGCCCCATTCCTTAGGCTTCATCTTAACCTCCCAGAAGTTCTCCTCAGAAACCACATGGAACATTAAAAGAAATTAGGCCCACAAATGAGAAATGAAGACACTTTCCAAAGTGTCTTTTTAGGACATAACTCTTCTGTCTTTAAAAAGCCTCAACTAAGAGTGCCTGGGTGGCTCCGTTGGTTAAGCGTCTGACTCTTGATCTCAGCTGAGGTCATGATCTCACAGTTTGTGAGATCAAATCCCATGTCAGGCTCTGTGCTGACAGTGTGGAGCCTGCTTGGGATTCTCTCTTGCTCTCTGCTTCCCTCTCTTTCTCTCTCTTTTTCGCAAAATAAATAGACTTTAAAAAAAAAAAGCCTAGGGGCGGGCATCCGGATGGCTCAGCCGGTTAAGCATCTGACTTTGGCTCAGGTCATGATCTCACAGTTTGTGAGTTCAAGCCCTGCGTCAGGCTCTGTGCTGATAGCTCAGAGCCTGGAGCCTACTTCAGATACTGTGTCTCCCTCTCTCTCTCTCTCTGCCCCTCCCCTGCTCACACTCTGTCTCTGTCTCTCTCAAAAATAAACATTAAAAAAAACAAAAAACAAAACAAAAAACAAACAAAAAAAACAAACCTTGACTAGGTTGACATACAAGAATCTGCTCCTTCCCAAAGAGGAGAGGACATTTAAGGAAGAAATGTGAGTAGTTCCTTTATATGTACATTTGCTCCAGAAATATTGCCAACTTATTTGGGAATCACACCCTTGTTGTAAGTTAGTCTGCCTTGTGGACATAACTAAATACGAATGCCACCAGTGCTGAACCTCACTAAATCATATACCCATTCATCCATTTATCTCTTCTATTCTTCATTTATTCTTTGTTTCAAAAACTTAATTGAAAAGTGCTATATATAGTAGTAGTGTGTTAAGTATTATAGGTGATTCATAGATGAACAAAAAACACCATCCCTACCTAAGCTTTCCACCAATACTGCTGTGAAGAAAGGTAAATAGCAATGACAGTAGGTGAAAGGTGGGATAAAAGCAACACCAAAAAGAATTAGAGAGGCATGGAATAACAGAAATTGTATATAAGTGTTTTACAAGCTTTGTCTTACCTAATCTTCACAACAGCAGTATAAGGAATGACACTCAAAGTGAAGCAGCTGGTACCAGAGTTCTCCCGATTCAATTCCCATGCACTTTGTACTCTGCCTTCATGGTGTCAAGAAAGAGGACTTAAATGACAAAGGTCTCACAAAAGATGGAGAGGATTCACCAGCACAGAGGGCATCATAGGCTGGAGGAATAACATGAGCAAGGAACGGAGATAGAAATGTTCAAGATGTGTTTAGGAAACAGTAATTACTTCAGTATGGCTGAAGTAGAATATCCAAAAGTTAAGATGTTCAGGAATATGATGGGGCCATATTATACCAGTCCTGGATACTAGGCCAAAGTTCCTCTTTTATTTGGCAGAAAATAGAAGGCATTGGAAATTTATGATCATAAGGGAATCTTGAGACAACAAATGATGTCCAAAATGTCTAGAATAACCTAAGTGTCAATTGGATAGGAGCAAATTGTAGCAATGTATGATTTATTAATCATCTATCAGTAAATAAATCAAAGGTATGATTTACCAATCACATTTATCTGATCCCATTAATACAGAAAATGAAGGTATTTCTTATAAATGAGTCAAGACCCAAAATACCCGTGGGTAACTATCATGGCATACATCCATACATTTAATTGTTTGCTTAATTTTCTGTCTCCCCCAGTGTTGAATCCTCTGTACTTAGCACAGTATCTACTGTATATCAGTCACTTAGGAAATATTTCTGGACTGAATGCATGAGTGAATGAATGAAAGAGTAAGTTTATAAATCTCTAAAACAGGGGAACTAGATTTTAAGCATTATAGTCCCTTATAATTCTCGTACTATGATTCTGTGACATAATTCTCAAAGTCTAGTTTCAGAATCTGGCTTTCAAATATATATTTGGCAATAGAGAGTTCTGGGGGAAAAAACTGTCATTTTGGTGAACTATACTTGAACTGTTAAAGGAGATAAACAAATAAGAATCAGAAGATAAGAATCCTGGAGTTTTCCCCATCTTTCAATATAATGATCCCATAAGGACTAAAGGAATTGAAGCTTTCTCTAATTTCCCCTTCTATACCCCTCCACTCTCATGACTTACTTAGCATTTCAGTTCTCTTTTATTTGTCTTTAAATTAACCTACCTTTAATGCTGTTGCATTTACTAAACATTTACTAAGCTCTGTGTGAAAGTATCACACAAGTTACTTTGATGGGTCCTTGCTCTCAAAGAGTTAAATATCCATCCATCCATCCACCCATCCATCCATCCATCCACCCACCCACCCATCCACCCACCCATCCATCCATCCATCCATCCACCCATCCATCATCTGCTGCAGTCTGCATATTTGTGTCCCTTCAAAATTCATATGTTGAAACCTAATATCCAAGATGATGGTATTAGGAGGTGGGGCCTTTGGAAGGTGACTGGCAGAGCCTCCATGAATGGGATTAGTGTCTTTATAAAAGAGGCCCCAGAGAGCAAGCTCAAGTCCTGTTACATGAGGATACAACAAGAAGTCCATAAACTGGATAGAGGGCCCTATCTAACCATGCTGACACGTTGATGTCAGACTTCAAGCTTCGAGAACTGTGAATAATATATTTCCATTGTTTATAAGCCACCCAGACTATGGTATTTTTGTTACAGTGGCTAAAACAGACTGACACCATCTATCCTTTATTCAAATATTTACTGAGCACCTACAGTCATATTTTACTGATTCTCAGATGTGCCCCCACTTTAATCAGACACTTCTTACTATCAATGGCATCATATAATTTATATTGGCAGTGTATTTTCCTTCTCAGTAGAACACAAAATAAAGTATCTTATAATTGATGGTGTCTTAGATAGGTTGAAATATAGTATGTCCCAGGCATTATGCTAAGAGAAATTTTATTATTTAAACACACATCTATTTTTTTTACTAAAAATTTTTTTTAAATGTTTTTATTTATTTTTGAGAGAGAGAGACAGAGTGTGACTGGGGAAGGGGCAAAGAGAGGGAGACACAGAATCTGAAGCAGGCTCTGGGCTCTGAGCTGTCAGCACAGAGCCCCACACAAGGCTCAAACTCACAAACCAGGAGATCATAACCTGAGCCAAAGTTGGATGCTTAACTGACTGAGACACCCAGGTGCCCCCACGTCTCTTTTTTAAAAAAAAACAACAAAACAACGAGCATGATTTTTCATTGGTTCAAGAAAATCCCTAGTTTAATCAGTTTATAACATTTCCCCTAGAATGAAATGCCAAGAAATATTTATAAACACTGAAAATAAATATAAACGGAAAATATTTATAAATACTCCTTTTATCTCAAAATTTGTAAATCATCCTGAAAAGGGATGATATTAGCTCTTGATTTTTTAATGGGTGGCAGGATAGACAAAGCAGTTGCTCTTACATACCTGATTATTATGCTTCTGCTAGATTTAATTTAATTATGCCATATCCACTTTAATAACATGCACCCAAATATCCAGCATTCCTAAGCCAATTCATGCTGAGCCTGTACATATTTAGGAATGCAAATTACATTAAAATGTATGTGTAGAAATTCAAGATAATGTAATCAAGGCTTGCATATACAATATTTTTCAATAATTAAGAATTTAGTAGTGGGGGAGGGAGAGGTGAAAATGTTGCCTTATAGTGACAACCCATGAAAGAAATTAATTTAATCAAACAATGAGGAGAAAAAAAAGGCAAACGAGTTATTTCCAGGTTTTTGATACTTAATTTTCTGGGAAGTAAACTGGGCATTACTTACATTTATAAAGAAGCTTACTACATTAATCATTTTCTTTGGTGGACCAAATCATTAGCATACTTGCTCAAGTGGTGGCTCTCAGGCTGAGGACCAACATATAATGCTTAGGATGCTATCACTCACTAACTCACTCACTCATTCATTCATTCATTCATTTATTCATTTGTTCAATAAATACTAAGTACTTAATATATACCAGGTAATATCAGAGTACAGGATACATAGAACGAGGAAGATAGACAAGAACTTACATTCCATAATGGAATGGAATAACATTCCATTATTATCCAGATAATAAACAAGATCAAAATAATTCAGGGAGTGATATGAGCTAGAGAAAAATAAACACTGTAATAGGATGAGTAGTGGAACAGTAGAGTTGATCAAGAAAATCCTTTCTAAAGAAGTAAGACTTGAAAGATGAGAGGCTAGCCATGGGAAGAGTTATAGTAACAGCCTTTCAGAAACTGGGTCTATCCTTTTACCTTCTCTCTCCACTTTGTATCACCCTCCAAGTTGATTCTGGTGCATTCTGGTAAGCTGCAAAACTGACCACAGTACTTTGCCGTTGTGCCTTCATTAGGAGTCCTTTTAACTACCCCTTCAATGCTGGCTGACCTTGTAATTTGCTTTGGCCAAAAGAATGTGGTGGAAGTGATTTGTGAGTTCCAACCCAAGGCCTTCTACCCTTGTGTTCTTAGAACCTTTGGCTGCTATGTGAAAAGCTTGGGCATTGTTGGCTGGGAGAAGAAAGCATGTGGAGACACCTAGTCATCTTAGGTGTCACAGATGAGGCCATCATAAACCAGCCTGCCCTGGCCAATACTCTACAGATGCATGAGCAAGCCTAGTCAAGATTGGTTGAGCCTGGCTGAGACCAGAAGAATTACTCACCTGAGCCCAGCCAAAACTGCTAAACTGCCAAAATCATGAATTAAATAAATGGTTGTTGTTTTAAGCCATCTAAATTGGGGAGTGGTTTATGATGCAGCCTAAACTGATTGATACATAAGCCAATCAGTCTGGAGATTTGAAGCCTTGACTGGAGCACTCTATGCAGGTTTGGGTTTATTAGGCTGAGGTAAGCTGGAAGGACAAGCCTGTGCTCACACCTAGAATGCGCCTGAACCACTCAGATGTTCTGGAAATAAGCCAGCATTTTCGTGATGTCTGGATGGGAAGTATGGGGCCCAACACTACCATTTGAAAATTTTCAAATACTGGTCAGAAACCTGATAAATTATATGATTCCTTCTTTTTGCTTTATAAATGAGGAAACTAGATTTTAGAGGTTGTGTGTCTCCCACCCCCACCCAGCTCAAAAGGAAGTACAGTTTAATGGAAAGAGCACAGGCTTTGAATGTTGAAGCCCAGAGTTCAGATTCTGATTCTCAACATTACTACCCAGCTGTGATACTTGAAACAGTTTACTTCATTCCTCCAGCCTCAGCTCCTCCTCTGTAAAATAGAGATAGTAAAACCTCTGTGGATGAGTGCATAGGAGAGCCTGACTGAGTTCCTTGGTGTTGCCCAAGTGCCTGGCTGTTGCTACTACAGCACCAGAATCTTTGACTCAGCGTTGGGATTACATTTCATCCTCATCTGGAGGCAGCTCCCATCTGGTATTCAGAGTGGCTGGTGCTGCCCAGTTCTTAGCTTTATAGGGTTTTTCACGTATTCTGCAAAAACTGGAGGGTATTCCCTACAGCTGAGGTTTGGGTGCCTTCACACTCAATGGAATTTCATGTTTATGGAAAATGGGCAATTCTTACCAGTTTATGTATCTGTTAGTTAACATGAGAACCTCACTGCAGACTGAAATCTGACACTGGAGTAATATTGTGAATCTAGAACTTCTCATCTATGAAGGTAGAACCCTGGTTATGATGAAGATTAATCAAATCTGAAGACCTTCAATTGAGCTGTCTTAAGATGCATATGCTTATTTCAATTGCTACCTATTTTATCATGTTTTATGAATTTACCCAATGTGTACTCAAATTACACTCATAAAAATAACATAAAGTGAAGTGAAAAGTAATAACAAATCACTCTTTTATGTAACCACTTAATAAAGTAGTTATTTCTATTGCTTAGCCATTGGGACTATGTTGAAATAGGGTATGTGTTCCTTTGAGACAATGAGCACATAGGTTCTATAAAATGACAAGGGCTGCAAAATCATCTTTTAAAAAGAATCTCAGTTACTTCCTCAGATCTGAGGGGATCCATGGCCTTGAAACCACAATTAGAATCTAGATGAGACCTTATCCCCCCAGCTTTGGTATCTTACTGAAGATCTTGTGTAGGTCAAGTTTATTTGCTTTTTTCCTCCACTATAAATTTGAGTTGTTAATTAATCTTCTAACCTCACGGGGATAAGGTAAGGTTAAGCAAAATGATTGAAAGGAGCTTTGCAAATTTATAAAGATGTTTAATAATATTTCTAATTATATTGAAAGCAGTCTGAGGCTGGTTCTCAGACCCCTTGCAAGAAACTCCCATGTGGACTCTCCACTGCTGGTTTTTGGGCAATGGGTGTGTCCAAGGCTGGCAAGTGAGGGTATCTTCCTCACCCAAACCAGTTAGGGTGGGAAGAGACTAGGTTCAAGGGGAGCATGGAAACTCCCCAGCCCCAGTGTTTTGTTGGAAGACTCCACTCCTTTGTATTTAGAGGCAGTTAGGAAAAGTGCTTTCTCTGGTGAACTTTGTTCTTCCTCAAAAGCTACAACACTGATCTGACCAAGGAAGTAGTAATGGGCTCTCCCCAGCAACTTTTCCATGCTCCACTCCTCCACTCTCCTCCCCACCCCATGTGACTGAATCTTGAAATGACTTACATAATAATCCTGATCCAGACCTTTCCTCCCAATTAGATGTAATTGTCCAAGAGAAACCTAGGAACAACAATTTTTGAAAATTATTTTTAGCGATAGCATTAATTTAAATGAAGAAAATAAGCCAATTATAGCACAATTTGAAAAATACGTGAAAAAAAGGAGTGAAAAAATAAAGAAGGCATTTAGTTGGTGATTTTATTATAGTATGCTGTTTTAGTTTGATGCAGCTGGTCTGCCTAAAAAAAGAAACAGAAAAACATTCCAGGTGATACCTTTTATTTGGTAATTGATTGATACTGGCCATCTGGCTTCCTCAGTGACAGGAAGCTGGCCTGCTGGTATACAGCAACACCTGGGTATATAAACCTAGTGGCCTTTACTCTTAACTCTCAAAGCTCACACAAATGCTGTCCCATTCCCATTCTCAGAGACAGAACTTCTGAATGCTGGTAAGAGTTCATTCATATTAAAGTCAACACTGGATGGTGCTTTGTTCTATACTTAAAATCTAGGTCTTTTAAAAGTAAAATTTTTAGGAGTAGATGCAAAAGAAAAAAAACTTGCCATTACTGTAACACCTGGCTCTCCCATAGGCTTTAGAAACTGCAAGTAGCAGGGAACAAGGAAAGAGGAGGGTGTGTCTCTTCCCTGTCATATTCAGGATGGAGCATTGTTAACCCTTTTAGGACTCAAGACAACCAAACCTCTTGTAATTTGCATTTCTAAAAATCCAAATTTGTCAGTATACATTACCTGTATCTGCACATCTCCTCTTTCTGCCAAAAATTTATAGTATTGGTATATGTCCCAATCTAAAATCTCACTGTTAGAACTCAGATTTTCAGGTCTCTCAGTCAGTCTCACTTTTTCCACTGGAATACTTTCACTTTTTTCCAATTTGTCAGCAACTGTGAACAGAAACAAAACAGAGACTAGCCAGAATACACAAGGTTGCAAGAGATAACTTAGAGAAAACAGCTTAGAGAAAACACTGTTCAGCCTATTCTTAAATTGTGCAGAGGTCTGGCCTACTAACAGAAAAAATATATATACCCTTAGGAGATAGAAATTTACTGATTTTTGTTTATTTGGTTCTGAGAAAAGTGCAAGAAACCTCATTATTTTTTGCAGTCCCTACAAATAGTGTATTAACACATATCAGAGCCTACTGAAGAGTTTGTCCAGGCAGGCTCAAGGAGAGAAGACAGATATTAGAAGCAGGCAACGGACCCTCTCTACCACTGACCTTTTCCAAGATTGAAACTACAATATAAGAGTAATAGCTTCTTAATTATTTCCTATAAAGAGTAGGAAACTAAATATAAATATAAATATATTTGAATAAACCTAACAAAGTATGAAGTTTGAAACATATATAGTAATTGTAGTTTCATTAAGCATATGAAATGATCTTGTTATATATATTATCTTAAATTAAAAAGCAGTTGTTTCACTCTTTCCTTTCTCAGATCCTAATAATGCCAGAGCTGTGTATTTAGATATTATTTTTATTATAGAAATTAACCATATGGACCTTACCTTATTCACTTCTTGGAAGACTTTTATTTAAAAACCTATTATGTCGTCTGGTTAAATGATGTGCAAGATGAAACGTTACATTCAACTTTGAAAATGATTCCAGAAACATATATTAATCTCATGCTATATTTTTTGTGATCATTTTAATCATTTAAATAGAATAATGCTTACTTAAGTTGTTCTCACATGTGGTGACAGAGACTGATAGTGTATGTATCTTACATCCATTTATTGAAGAGTTTTTAACAAGCCATCCCATATTCTAAATGTTAGAATTGGAAAAACTGCTAAATATTTATTGATGCTTCATTCAAATTCTCAGTTGAATGAAAGCACAGCACAAGAACATGGGGACTTATTCTAACAAAAATAAAAGATAAGCACATTCATTTAAAGCTTTTGAAAAGTAATAAAATCAGAAAACTCTACATTGTATTAAAAGAATTGTACTATAACAAATGCTGAAAGCATAGTCATTTAATACTTTCATAAATATACAAACTGGCATTGATTTATTCTTCTAATTGCTCAGCAAGTCTATTTATCTTAAATTATGTGAAATACTTACTGTAATCTGCTACCTTCTTGTAATGATTTAGGGCAACTTCACAATTCTGTAGAACATTGATTCCTGACAAATATCTGTACCCCTAAAACACAGGGATATATATTCTTAATATTCTGACAGTGTTGTATTTATAACATGCCCATTTGGGCCCAAGAATACTTAATTTACTTACCAAAATCATTTGGGACATCATGCTTCCTCCAGCACTTCCAAAGGTGTAATATATCAGTGCCTAAAGTAAACGAAAAAAAATCTATATCTATATCCGCCATCTAAATTTGAAGCTCAAACCAATCATTGCTTTTTTATTCCTTGCCCAGCAATGAACTTTGAACTACTCCAAAATAAATTTCAACTTTTGTCTTCTTCCTTGGTAAAGATGGCTGACATTTTTGGAGGACTTAGGGCATTGTACATGATACTTCATTTACATTACAAAATACCTATGAAGTAGATATTATCTATCTATAATGGAGATATTATCTATCTATCTAAAATACGGGACATTAAGAGAGTGAACAGGGGAGGGGCAGAGAGAGAGGGAGACACAGAATCTGAAGCAGGCTCCAGGCTCTGAGCTGTCAGTATGGAGCTTGACACAGGACTTGAACTCACAAACCGTGAGATCATGACCTGAGCCGAAGTCGGATGCTTAACTGACTGAGCCACTCAGGCACCCCAAGAAACTTATGATATTTTAATCTTAAACTTCTGAGTATTGAGCTGGCGCTTTTAACCACCACTCTCAAGTAAGCCCCTTTACCTAAAGAGGAGACTATTCAATGTCCCTTTTTAAAAAATTCAGTTTTGTTCCCGGAAAAACAGAATAACTTTACCTTGGCTTGATTGTATTCCATTCCTATTCCATAAGAAGACAAAAATCCTAATGCCTAAAGCCCAAAAGAAAAGGAAAACTAAATAAATCCATTTATTTCACAATTATTCTTATTTACAGTGGTAAAAGATATTTTAAATGTCTGTTGCATAATAATTGTATTGTTGGCTTATATCTTATATCCTATAATAAAGTACCCTTTTACACTTTTGCTAAGGCTGTAAGAAATTGGAAAAGGTAATAGTGGGAGTTTTCTATAATATATATGAAAATAGGCTAATACTGACATTTAGTATAAATCATAATAATGAAACGTTATAAACCAATGATATTTATATTCTTGCCTTTCGTGGCAATGAAAAAACTTCTTCCTTCAACATTTTAGAATTTAGATTTGAATATTTGTCTTCATATTTTTAAAAGAAAATGCGATGTATATAAAAAATTCAAATGCAAAGAACTGTATTGAATAAAAGGAAAGTCTAATCGTGTAGCAAGATGCTAAAATAGGCAGCCCCAGATCTTGTTCCTCCATAGAGACACTGATTTAGCAACAATATACAGTCCAAAAAATCTTTATGAGAACTCCAGCGACAACTTAAGAAATCATAGTAACCCAGACAAACTCAAAGCAAGGAACGAACAATCCATTGATACAGGTAAAGAAAGCCGTTTATTTAACCTGCAATTGCTCCTCCCCCAAGCCAGCATAGCACAGTGTGATTAAGAGGAAAAGCCCAACTCAGGACTTCTCCCTTGGGAGGGAAAGAGAAGAGTGGAACCTAGGTCCAATGTTTCAGCTTTTGCAGGGACTGCCCATGGGTCTGATTTCTGTCTTGCCTGATTTGGCATGATTGAAGAACCAGCATACTATGGATTCCTGGGCAGCTGCTGAGAACAAAAGAGAGCTCAGCCACTAATTGCAGGACTGGAGAATTTCCCATATACCACAGATAGAAGCCAGCACAACTTGGCACAATCAGCAGAAAGTGACCAACTTGTGACTTCTCCTTTGGGAGGAAAAGAGAAGACTGGAATGGGGGCCCAATGTTATGGCTTTTGGGAAGCTACTCAAGGACTGATTTCTATCTCCTCTGACCTGAAGCACTGACCGAACTCTCATGCTTTAGATGCCTGGGGCCACTAAGAAGAAAAAGGAGTTTTGCAGCTTGTTGCAACCCCAGAGAACCTGCAATATCACATACAGACACTAAAAGGAGCAAAAGACTACAAGTGCCCGAAAAATACCAGCAAATCTCTGTAACTGGAAATTACAAACACAAGCCCCAAGAAGACACATCCCCGGAAATGATTTGAGAGGTCCCCAGAATCTCTAGCTATGTTGACAGGTGAAGGTATTTCCCTGCACATATCCAATCTGTAAAGATAAAGGGGTGGCTATATTTCCAAATACATAAATCACAGAAAAAATTAACAAGGCATATGAAGAAACAGGCAAACATGGCCCAATCAAAGGAACAAAATAAATCTTAAAAAAATAAAACCCTCAACCCTAAAGAAATGGAGATCTATAAGTTACCATACAAAAAATCCAAAATAATCATCTTAAGCTCAAAATGCTACAAGACAGCACATATAAACAACTAACCAAAATCAGGAAAAGGATGCATGAATAGAATGAGAATATCAAAAAAGAGATTGAAAAAGAAAGAAAGAAAGAAAGAAAGAAAGAAAGAGAGGAAGGAGGGAAGAAAGGGAGGAAGGAAGAAAGAAAGATTTATTTCAAAAACTCTGGAGCTGAAGAATATAATAACTGAATTGAAAAATTCATTAGTGGGCTTTAATAGTAGACTGATCAAGCAGAAGAAGGAATCAATGAACCTGAAATCAGTGGAACAAAAAAAATGAAGACAAGTAGGAAATCCTAAGAGACTTATGGGAAACCATCAAGTGGACCAATATACACATTATGGGAGTCGCAGAAGAATAGTGAGAGAAAAAGGGGCAGAGAGCTTATTTTAAGAAACAATGGCTGATAATTTCCCATATCTGAGGAAGGAAATGGATATTTAAATTCAAGAAATTCAATAAACTTCAACTAGGATGAACCCAAAGAGGCCCACAGCAAGACACATTATAATCAAACTGTTACAAGTCAAAGACAGGATCTTGAAAGTAGCAAGAGAAAAGAGACTCATCATGTATAAGAAAGTTCCCTTAAGTTTATGAGCAGATATCTCAGTAGAAATATTACAAGCCAGAGGGAATAGGCTAATATGAGCAAAATACTGAAAGAAAAAAGTTGTCAACCAGAATACTGTATGGCAAAACTGACCCTCAAAATGGAGAAGTAAAGGCCTTCCCAGATAAATAAAAGCTAAAGGAGTTCATCAACACTATACCTGCCCTATAAAAACTGTTAACAGGAGTCCTGCAAGTTGAAAGAAAAAGATGCTAGACAGCAAAACAAAAATATACAAAAATATAGAGCTCTCTGGTAAAGATAAATACATAGACAAATACAGAATCCTGTAGTACTGTAATAGTGGTACAAAAGTCAGGTTTAATTCTGGTATAGAATTTAGTAAAACAACAAAAGCATAAAAGAAAACTATAACTATAAATGTGAATGAATACAAAATGTGAATTGGGTTATTGATAACATAGTGGGGGGAGAGAGGAGTGTTGTGATTGCAGTTAAGTTGATATTAATTTAACTAGAAGATGTTTTATGTAATCCCCTTGGTAACGACAAGGAAATAGTTATAGAAGATACACCAAGAAAATAAGAAGGGAATGAAAGCATGCCATTACTAAATAAATAAATAAATAAATAAATAAATAACAAAAGGAGGGACGAAGAAGGGAAAAGGACAAAATAACTACAAGGCAAACAAAAACAATCAACAAAATGACAACAGGAAGTCTTTCCTTATCAGTAATTACTCTAAATACAAATGGATTACACTCCAAACAAAAGATACAGAGTGGCTGAATGGATAAAAATAAGCAATATGCAACTATCTGATGTCTACAAGAGGCTTTATTTTTTTAGAGCTGGGGGGAGAGGCAAAGAAAGAGGGAGAGCGAGAATCCCAAGCAAGCTCTGTGCTGTGAGCATACAGCCCGACGCAGGGCTCGATCTCACAACTGTGACATCATGACCTGAGCTGACATCAAGAGTTGGACCTTTAGCTGACTGAGCCACCTAGACACCCCCAAGAGACTTTAGATGTAAGGACACATAGGCTTAAAGTGAAAGAATGGAAACACATATTCCATGCAAATTGTAACAAAAAGAGTAAGAGATGACCATAATTATATGAGACAAAAGTAGATTTTAAGTCAGAAAGTGTCAAAAGAGACAAAAAAGGATATTATATAATGATAATAGGGTCAATTCACCAGGAAGATATAACCATTATAAATACATATGCATTAATGGTAGAGCACCCAAACATATGAAGCAAACATTGACAGAATTGAAAGAAGAAATAGACAGTAACACAATAATGGTAGGAGATTGTAATGCCTCATTTTCAAAAATGGATAGAACAACCAGACCAAAGCTCAGTGAAGAAACAGAGGAGTTGAAAAACACCATAGACTAATTGGACCTAACAGACATATAGAATGCTCCACCCAACAATAGCAGAATGCACCTTCTTCTTAAGAACACATAGAAAAATTGGGAATGCAAGCTGGTGCAACCACTCTGGAAAACAGTATGGAGGTTCCTCAAAAAACTAAAAATAGAACTACCCTATGATCCAGCAATTGCACTACTAGGTATTTATCCAAGGGATACAGGTGTGCTGTTTCGAAGGGACACATGCACCCCCATGCTTATAGCAGCACTATCAACAATAGCCAAAGTATGGAACGAGCCCAAATGTCCATCGATGGATGAATGGATAAAGAAGATGTGGTATATATATACAATGGACTATTACTTGGCAATCAAAAAGAATGAAATCTTGCCATCTGCAGCTACGTGGATGGAACTGGAGGGTATTATGCTAAGTGAAATTAGAGAAAGACAAAAATCATATGACTTCACTCATATGAGGACTTTAAGAGACAAAACAGATGAACATAAGGGAAGGGAAACAAAAATAATATAAAAACAGAGAGGGGGACAAAGCACAAGAGACTCATAAATCTGGAGAACAAAGTGAGGGTTACTGGAGGGGGTGTGGGGGGGGAATGGGCTAAATGAGTAAGGGGCAGTAAGGAATCTACTTGTGAAATTCAGAAATACGTGGAAATTAAGTATCACACTCTTGAACTACCAATGGGTAGTTCAAGAAATCACAAGGAAATTTAGAAAATATCTTGAGACAAATGAAAATTAAAATACAACATACCAAAACTTATGAGATGCAGCAAAAGCAGTACTAAGAGGAAGTTTATAGAGGTAAGTGTCTACATTTAAAAAGAAAGATCTCAAATCAAATCAACAACCTAACTTTCCATCTTAAAACACACACACGCGCACACACACACACACACACACACACACACAGGAAAAGAAGAACAATCTAAACCCAAAATTAATGGAAGGAAGGATATAAAGATTAAAGAAAAAAAACAGACAATAGAAAAGGTATATAAACACATGCTACAAAATAGTTGAACCTTTAGGACAGTATACTAGGTGAAATAAGCCAGTCACAAAAAAAGACAAAAACTGCATGAAACCACTTATATGAGGTCTCTAAAGTAGTCAAACTCTTAGAAACAAAAAACAAAATGAAATTTGCTAAGATCTAGGGAGAGGGAGAAGAGGGGAGTTGTTTAATGGATTTCAGATTTGTAAGATTAAGCAGTTCTAGACATCTGCACAATGATGCACATACTGCTGTACTGTACAGTAAAAATGCTCAAGATGGTGAATTTTATATTATTTACCTCATTTTTTTTAAAAAGTGGAAGTCTTCCATCATCACCAATGCTTGATAATCCCCATCATCCCCAAGCATCCCCATGCTTGATAATAGTTTCATATATGTCTTTCCAAACCACTTTCTAAGCATTCATATATTTCGAAATGGTGTAGTTTTTCTTAAAGCCCGTCCCTTACTGATTTGGCAT